ACTGTCCAATTTATATTTTGAGATTGACTACATTACAACACAAATTATGGATAAAAAAAAATTTATTTTGCTCTAAAAAACGGTTGACATTGGATTCTTTAACGCTGTGAAAAACACGTCTTATGAAGAACCTTTTGAACATTGAACATTTCAAATTATAAACAACTGAAGTGCCTTCACACCTTGTTTACGAGATTTTCAAAAATCAGTCAGTCGTATCCAATTGTATAATAGTACCTATATTAGTTGCATTATAGCGTATACCTACGCACATTACACGACGCTAAATTATTTTATCATTATTATTATTGTGAAGACCSATTTTTTAAATGTTTTATTTTTCACGCCTTCTGAACTGGATCGTGTGAAAAATCGACAATGATGGAGATTTTTTTTCTATTTCGCATTGCGATCGCCGTTCATAGATTTTGTGGAATTATTTTTTTGTCGTTACGCCATACCATTATTATAATTATTATTATTACTATTCATATACTATTGTCTACTGTAGTCTACATAATGATGATATAGTATTAATATAGCTGTTTGTTATAAATAAACGCTTTCGTCGATACTCGTATAGTCGAATCGTAGTTCTATACGAGATGGAATAATTAAAAATTACGATAGCTCGCAGTCGATCCATCGAGTCATATTTCGGTTATTTCATATATTATTTTAATGTTTTATAAGCACATCAGTATTATATATTTTTTAGAAATTACCTACAATACTATAGTAAACTACCTATACTCGTATACGTTGTATATTATTGAAATCATAATCATTTTATTTTTCCTGTTTTTATTTTTCTAATTCTTTTCCAAATGTTTGTTATGCACACGTGATTGATGCTGTGCTCATAACGTCAAAATATAAATATTATTATTAATTTGTCTAGCAGCGTATTCCACGAAAACCAAGAACGTAATATCAATGAAGTCACAAGTGTGTCATATAATATAGGCCAGGATTTTCATACAAAAAATATTGTACAATTTTAGCATATTTCACACAATAACACAAAAATAATGAAAAAAAACTTGTCCGTCATGGATTTATGCAAAGAAAAACTTCTTTCTACGTAACCATATAATGTATATAATACTATATGGGTGCATATTCAAAATGAAAAATATTTCCTGCAGGTGACGATAACTCTACAATTTCTTCATTATCCATTTATCAGTTTAATGTTTAGTACATTTTTTTAATTTGAGAATGTACCCGGTTTTTTACAATACTATTGAAGTCGTTATAATAACACGATACTCTCTAACTTAGTATTCACTTGGTATATAATATATTAATATCATATTATTAATATGTAAACTTTATTATAGATTATATTATCAATTAGGTACAAATGAACACTTAAAGTTAGATTTTTATGAAAAAAAATATTATTGAATTTGAATATTTGACGCACAAAACAACTAAACATTTAAAATATGCAAAAAAATTGTAACCTCTCATAGATTTATACTCGGAAAAACTTATTTCTATATCGTAGCATATATTATAGGCACATATTTAAGACAATAAAATATGTCAATAACTTTTCAATGCACCGTTATTGTAGTTATTTATTTATCCTTCGTATAAGATTCCACATTTAAACAAAATATATTTTTAATTTAATATAATATGAAATGTAATTTACTATTTTATAAAAAAATATGCAATCATAGTATAGAAATATGCTGAGATTTAAATAATAATTTTTAATAAAATACGGAAAAGTCGGGAAAAAAATATTTACTCGTAGACTACTTCACGTCATTACGCAACGATGACATTTTTAATCAAAATTATCCAAGAGAATATTATAGAAAAATGTTCATTTAAATAAAAATCCTAGCGTTAATAATAATAAATTATATTATACGATGTAGTTCTTTTATCGTCATCTCGTTTTTTGGCTCCGCCCCTCCACATGGTTTGTCCATTTTTAAACCCTCGGAACGACCACCAACACCATCATGTTAAGTTATTATTATTATTGCTATCGAACGTCCAAAATACATTACGACACCGAGTCACTATTTTAAATGTTTAAATTATATGCTTGGAAATTATAAAAGGGAATCGTATTATTATTATTATTATTACCATGCCTCCACGGCGTAAACGTCAGTATAATATATTATGATGAGATGATATAATATTATGTTTATAAGCACGATAGATTACCACCCAATTCCAACGGTGGCGGCTTATAAATAGGTATAAAAAAACACAAAAGGTTTTTAGTTGAAAAAAAATATTTCCAGACAACTTTGGCCGGCCTACGCGTTAAATTCTCCCAATCGCGTGATGCATTTAAATGAATAATAATAATAATAATAATATAAAGAACAGATTAAAAAAAAAAAACAACAGCGCAACAACGCATTCCATACGAAATATAATATACCAATCTAACGTGTTTGAGTTTCCACTTAAAATTATTTTATGGCTAGTTTTTAATTTTTTTTGACTTTATAATACTTCCCATTTAAGTAAGCATGTTAGGCATAAGAAAACCATATTAAAATATAACCCAAAAGACAAAGCATCGTATATTGTACGAAAGTTTTCCTATGGCACATGTAAATTACAATAATGGTACTGATAAAATTATAAAAACAATATTCAAAAACAAAAATTCTGTCATAATATTAATACCTATAGTCGTCAGTCATCACTATTGTCATTATTTGATATAATATATAATTAAAATAATCTATACAAACATGAACGGAAGACAAGTGAGCCAATYTGCTTTTGTAAAACATTGTGGAACATAATAATTTTATTATATTCTTATTCTTAGATTAAATATCTATCTTCTGAAGGTTTCTCTATCTGATATGCTTGTAGTCTGCTGCAGTTTGTACAAAATAATACAAATATAATAGAATTTATCTGTTTGGAGAAAAATCTTATACCTACGAATGATTTGGCCGTCTAGAGACAGTAAATATTATGTTTATGTTCAAGTCTACCATTTATCGCAGTAAGCCATAATATCTAGCTATAATATTACTTAGGTACATGTTCTTATAATAATAACAATTATAATTTTTTTCATAAAAGTTACAATAATATATTGTTCATCGTTTGAGGTGAAACGTGCAAATGAGATCAATTTTGATTTCTGACAATAGTATATAAATACTTATACCTCATACCCTTATACTCATATGAGGATATGGCCGGGGCCAGGGTGATATGTATATAMAACACTGTATTTTGAATACCTAACGTAGCCCGTAGGTTCAGCTATAGATGTCCAATTTTGCGGAGTTAACGTAATTTCTTACCATAACATAGCGTTAATTAGGTACTTTTGTGCATTCGAATAATTCTATACCAAAATATGTATATTTGAAT